CCAGGAAACTACAAAATTTTATGACCAAGGTGGTATCCACAAGGTTGTCTATCCGAGGTTGGGGTAACTATCTTTTGACATGCTTTGTTAAGGTCAATATACTCAATACATATCAAGCATTTATCATTGCCTTTTTTTACAAAGACAATGTTGGCAAGCCAATGGGATACTAAATTTCATTCATAAACCAAGCACCGATGAGTTTACCAATCTCCTGTCATATGACATTTTGAAGTTCTAGTACAAACTGCCTCTTTCTCTTAGTAACAGACGTGGCCTCCATGTTAATATTGAGTATGTGCACTAAAACCTCAAGGTTTATCCTCCACATATCCTCTACCTCCCATGTAAACACATTGATATTGCATAAAAGACAATCAATGAGATCAGCCATGTAAGGTTTATAGAGATCTCAATCTATAGTTGTAACGTCCCAAGTCCATCACTCTTTTATTTTATTAAAATTATAGACTTGAAATGTTACCAAACATCTCATCCATCTTATATTATCCCTTCTTCTTCTTTTTTATTTTTTTACCTTATTTGATCGATAAATAAATAAAGATAATCTAACGATTTAAATAAAAATTTTCATGTAAATCGACATATTAAACCCCTAGAAATCTTAAAAATGAAAACTTGAATTTAACACAAAATATCCAAAGTTCGAGCATAAAAAGTGCTAAAAACAACGTGCACGTAATTAAATATAGGATGTCCTAACAATTAAATTTTGACAATAATTCTTTTTTTAAAAAATTCTTTACTTACCGATCCCATAAGCACCACTCGATCAATTTGACACACGTTCACACGATCCATTCTAATTTGAAAAGTTATTGTGAGAGTGAGTATTTTAAAAAAAAAACATTCAGTAAGAAATGCGTACATATTCTTATTAACATGGTATAAATATAAAATGACATGACATATCGACATTTTTTAAATTTAGAGCAAACTGGTCGCCACGTCCAATAGCTCGAGGAATTTCATAAGAATTCATATATCCCATAGGATTTGTTTATTTGACCGAACGGTACATTCCATAAGATTTAACATATTTAATCTAACGGTCCATTTCGAAGAATTTAACATAAATATCGACCCGAAATCCTTAGAGTATTTCATGCCAAAATCTATAAAAAAAAAATTAAAAACAAAAAAAAAACGAATTAATAAGAATTTACCACTTGCACAATTCTTATCTTGATTTGATACTAAATAAATATGAAAATGGCTTGTGAAATAAGAAAATATCCCTTTTTAATATGTGTGTATTCTCGTTTTTTATATATAATATTCACTTTCATTACTAAGAAGACAAATGACCACACATCAGGCTGAGAATTCAATAGGTTAATTAACCTTTTCTTTATTTCAAATTGATCATGGTGAGTGGAAATGGTGGGACGGTTGAAAGAGTTGAAAAGACTAATTAAATATATTAATAAAATAATGATTGATTTTTACGTTTTTGAAATTTCCAATAACATTTCCATTGTTTCATTCCACTATTATTATTATTATTATAGGATTTAGAATCTCTTTCTTCCTATCAAGATAACTTGAATATAACTAGTTCAAAATTATTTCTTTTAAAGTCGATTTATGTTATTTAGCACGAACCACAAAATGAGTATAATATCAATATATTTTTATTGAGTTTTGACATAAATGAACAGTACCAAAAGCCTCTCTTTTAAGAGAGTAAAGATACCTAGAGTGAGGAAAAGCTTAATGAAACCCTCTAGATTATGATACCAACCTTGAACCCTTAGCAGAAATTTTTAACCGATTTAGGACGATTCATTGGGATTTCCATCTTAGTGAAGGGGTTGTGGGTTAATATATTAACCACACTCCTGTTGTCCACAAAAATATTTTTACTTCAAAGTTGGCAATGATTGTTGTCACGACCAAGACATCTTCGTAAAGGATTGATGTACCTTCTAAATAATCGGACCTGAATATAATCTCCTCGAGGTTGTCTCAGGTTGACCTTGACGTTGAGATATACTATCAAGCGTACTATTTGCGACTGTCCTGAGAATTTTCCATCGAATCTATTCCCTGATAATGACATTAATTCTACCTATTGTTAATTGATTACAATCCCAGTCTCGAACCCCTTTTCCTATGCATGGTCATTCTTTGGGCATTTGTCGTGACAAACATAAGCCTCGAGAAAACCCCCATATATTAGAGATTTAATTTTTCGCTACAAGGTTTTGCATGTTTCATTTGTAAGCCCATGGTCCTAATAGAATTTACAGTACTTGTTCCCATATCTAGTGTCCAAGGAAGATCACATCCTTGAGGGGCCATTTAAGTTCTTTGAGATCCTTGATCTCCATCAAATTTGTAACAACTCAAGTCTCTGCACTCAAAACGTTAACTTATGTATTATTCGTTATGGAAGAGCTTGAGTCAGTCTTGACTCTCACGAATTTTTCCCAATTGGCACCAGAATTCAATTTAAATCTCTCACAGAAAGATAATTTAGTTTAACGTAATATCAAAATATATAAATATTTCGAGATCAACTTCCTCATTATATCCCTATGTGAGTTTTCTTTTTTTAAATTTATTTTCAATAATATATTTTTTTCAATAAAATAATTTTGCACGTAAATCCTAAATTTCTACTAATTTTTAATTACACATTTTTTATATATCATTTTCACAAACCTCATTCTAAAAAATGGGACTCAAACAAAAAATATATATTTATAAAACTCATGCATGTATGAAACATTTAGAGAAAAAAAATATGTTTCATTTTTTAATAATTTAATTTTAAAATTAACTAATTCAATAATATATTAAATATAATTTTAAATTATTTTCACATTTAATACTTAACACTACTATTCAAATTTTTTGATCAAACATGTAGACTTCTTCTTTTAAAGTACAAAAGTCTTCCCACTATATCAAGTCAACAAAGACCCTGTTTGGGTTCTATCTTGTTCGAAACAGATTTTTCTCTATTTTCTTTCAACCATATATTTTTTAATAAAATAATATTACATGTAAATTTAAAAATTTCATTTATTTTTAACCACACATTTTTCTAGAAATCACTATTTATATACATTTTTCTTCAAATTTAATTTTAATGGAGCCTAAACAAGAGCTAATATTATAATGTGGGGTGAAGTTAAATGTTTCATTTGCCACCGAACTTTGCACATGTCACGGCTTATTCACTGAACTTTCAAATTTGTCCCGTTGACCACTAAACTTCATTCTGTCCAACTCCATCATTCACCCATTTAAAACCCATTAATAAGGCACCTACGTGGACGACGAAAAGTTGAGTTGGCCAGTTAAACACTTCAAAATATGAACTTAATTGCCAAATCAGCTGCAATTCAGCAAAAGCGCATCCAAAATTGTAATTAAAGAAAAGGCAACTTTGAAGGCATAAGACTCAAACCCTTGTCATGGTAAAAATGAGATTTTCCTCAAATCGAATCCGTAAGGCACGCATTTTCCCCAAAACCAAAAAGCAGAACCTGACACCCTAAAATCGATCCAATCGGTTGAAAGACTGTAAGGATTTGTAAATCATCAACGGCATACAGTAATCGCGAGTTTGTTACAAGGCTATAGTGATTTGAAGTAAAGGTAAATGTTTGTTCGCTGAATTGTGAATTGAACATAGCATATGATATTAATTAAGCAAGAAGGTTGTGTTTTGAAAGTTTAAGGTATAAGTAAATAAATGGAAGATTTAGTTAGAGGAGAAGATGCATGCGAAAGGGTTGTGTTTTGAAAGTTTATCTATGCTATAGATGCATATGATTTGTAAGAAATGTGAAAGTGCGAAACAAATGACAATAAACTATAAGTTGCAGAGATTAAATTGTAGGAAATATTTGTCGATAATGATTTATGTTGTTGTAGATGCAATAGTAGTTGTCAATACACACTATACACCTTCCATCAATTTACTTTTCAGATGATTACTTATGGACATTTGTGAATGCAATTGCAATTGTCAATGAAAGGAAAAACAAGGGCGTTTGTCATAGTTGTAGGAAGCCAGGACATTGGATATCTGACTGTCCGACAACACGACAGTGCCCAAGTTGTTTTTCGGACATTGTCAAGTGTATGGAAGTGGAGAAAAAAATTGCAAACTTAGTCGATTATTTCGATGTTGTAATAGAGACTATGGTTATTATAGGTGGGTGGTCATCAAACCGTTGAAGAACCTTGGCAATTTGAAGGAGCATCGAGCGGAGATCAGATTGTAGATATGTCACGTATGTTACGGTGTGTTGCTTACATAGCAAATCGGAAGGACATTGAGGTCTCCATCAATGTGACTATCTGCATTGGTAAAGGAGATACAGAAGATAATGGGATAGGAAATTGAAAAACGCCGTGAATTTTAGCCGAATACATAATGAAATGAATGGCCTATATTATAGTTATGCATTATAAATATGAAAAGACTCCCTTATTTGTGCAATTTTCATTTTTCCCGATCGCCATGAATCGTGGGATTTATGATTATCCATAATACTTTTTGAATTCCATGAGTTGTGGGCAGGGTTTTGATTTATGCCATGATTTGTGAGATTAATTTCCTCTTAGTAAGTAGTGGGATGTTTGTTCTTTTTATCACCACGAGTTGCTAATATTATAATTTTACTTGGATTATTTACATTTTGATAACAAGTAGTCTTGTATTTTCTTATTAAATATCACATATCATTATCTAACATAAGGGGTCTTCAGAAAATTACCATAGTCGATGGTCAAGAGGTCCTTAACTTAATATATATATATATATATATATACACACACACACACACACACATAGATATACATATATATGTATATATATGTATATGTATGTATATATATATATATATATATATATATACACACATACATATATATATATATATATACACAAATATAAACCTAGCATCATTGATCATAAAAATTTAATATGTAGACACAAATATAACATCCAAAAATACTGATAAAAATGGAAAACATGAAAGATTCCTCAAAAAAATTGGATCGGCATAATTTCAGTGTCAACCCACAACAAAAAACCAGATCTACATAATTTCCTGAAAAAAATAGATCTGTATAATTTTTTCAAAGACTAAAAACAGCTGAAATTAGATTTGCATAATTTATTGTGGCTATGGGGTGCACACTAAGGGTTGTGTCATTGATTATGTAGACTGCTTTGCGCATTGTCATTTTTTAGCCATTCTCGATCTCATATTGGCAGATTCATGCAAGTCGTCCACAACTCATCAAAGTTTACAACATCGGTTGGAACATCAACAAGAATTGACTGAGAACATATCGTTGCTATTGGACCAAATTTGAGACCTTATGACCAAGCTTCAAGTATTACAATGGGGGTTGGAATGAAATGGTGAGTTTGTTCTTTTGTGGGATTATGCTTTGTCGATGCTCGTAATCTCCTATATGCCACTAGTCTGCTCTATATACTGCGTACATTACACAGCTAGATAGCTAACATTATGCAACAAATATCAGGAGCATGACTTAAAATAATAAAAAGAGAAGTTTACCAACCCATTAGTCGACAGCTATGTCAAAACGTGTGTGTCACAGTGTGTGCTAACTGATTCTAGATGTTCTTCAAATAAATCCTACCATACAAAAAATAAACCATCAGAATACATTTATTTCAGCTTCATCGCATTTTGCAGGACAATCAAATTCATCTGTTCCTTTTCTCCAATTTATCCGTCTCTGTCCCGTTCGTGGCACAATCGATGATGATAGAATGATATCAAGCATATGCAACCATGCCTATAACCGCATACCGTTACCATTAATTGGATTCATAGTACTATTGTAGCACCTTATATACATATCAATCGTGTAACAATTGTCAATGAATTCTTTTGGATCATTTTTGCATTCCCCAATTACTGCCATTGCATGATCCAATATATGCATGTAAGCTTCCATTCTCTACATGCAAATGTTCTTTCTTGTAGGTCGACGACATACGTCCCATAGCTGCAGTCAACTTGTCATTTTGGATAACCAAAAATGTGCAATGTGCATTCATGCAATTTTTCTGCTATTTTGTGTAATTTTTTTCCTGATCTTTTGACACAATTGTTCGTGCACCTCATCATGTCTCGATGCCTTCGAATCCTATTCATGAAGGTTAAATGTTGTGAAGTTAGCATCAACAAAATCATCTTTTCTCTATCAATCCACAGAGTCTTGTTGAAATCTTCGCATAAATTGTTTAGGAAAATGTCACTCTTCAATTGAACTGAGAAATGTGATCTACTCCACTCTTGTAAATAGCTCTCCATAAGCCATTTGTTTGCCTCCTCACTAAGTTATCGAATTTGTTTCATCCAATTTCAGTAGTCAGCAATGGTGGTTGACTTTGTAGCACGCAACAAGTAATTCTTCAGAATTTTACTCTTGAACCTAGACGGAAAAAAATTGTATACATATGCCTTACACAGAACCTGTGCTCAGCCTCAGGGGACAACTCATCCATGACATTTTGTAGACCCTTCTGCCTGTCGGTCATAAGAGTCCAACCTCTCCAATTTCCTATCCTAATATCATATGAAAGATAGGCTAAGAACCATCGCCAAGCAACTGTATTTTCTTTCTAAACAACTGCAGTTGCAATGGGATAGATGCAATCATTAGCATCAACCCCAATTCAGTTAACATTATCCTTGTGAAACCACCCCTTAGTGGCAACCTTCAATACATAACACCTTCCTACAACCATCCCTCAATCCTATCTTACAACAATTGAAGCATGTGTAGATCTCCTGAAATATATGCTCCTGTAATGCAATTATGACCGTCGAGCCAACATTTATACTTAGTACCTCGGCTGCATAAGACTGCAATTGCCTAAACAGTTCGTGCAAATTTTCTACTAAAACTTCTTTGGCGTATCTCCGCATTTTTCATGCTACGTTTCTTGCTAATGTCTATTTGGTGATCCTTCTTCACTGTTGCCAAAATAAGCTCGATCTTCCAATTCGGGTTTGTCTTAAATTGCTCAATATACCAATGTGTCAAAAATATGTAATTGCAATGTCTATTAAACTAATCTCAACTACAAAGTATGCTCCAAAGTGTAAGATTTGACTTGCAACCTATCGGACACATCAAATTTAGAAGCTCATATTCTCCATTTGTAGCCCAATTTCCAAATTCCTTGAACTCATCTTTCCTCATTTGCCTTAAACTTTAAGTTGTACCCGTTAAATGCACTGTATGTTCGCATCGCTTCACGAAACTCCGCAACAGAATCGGATATTTACCCTACCTCAATTGTGGATTTTTCATATCTTGATCAATAGAGAATTCAGGAAAATGACAGCTGCCATCCTCATCGGATAAACATTGGGACAGTAGTTCCCTTGATGATGGTAGTTCCAATTCATTCAACTCATTATCACTGCCCTCTTCTCGTTAGACCTGAACTTCATCTTAGCGATTGTCCATTCCAATTTCCATCGCATCAGTTACATGTCTATCATATTCAATGTCATCTTGTTTGGACTCAAAGTCGTGGTCGGAAACTATGAATTCCGTATCTTCTTCACAATCTAGGATATAGTTACCCACATTAAACAATATTACATGCAAATGATCAGACTTTACACCAACATTGAGCTAATATATGAGGATGAAGATTCAACATTGTGTAGTGCATATATGTTTTAACACTTTAGTCGATATTATCACTTTACTACATTGGCAAGGACTTCATTTAATGAATTTTGCCTAAACTCGAAAATAACAGTGGAAGACAATACAGATAATCAGATTACAAAATGGAACAACAGAGTGTAGCCAAGGTGAACAGGACAATGGTATGTAATGAACTAAAACAAAACATACGATTCAGGACATAAAGAACAGAAAATAAGGGGATCGACAGACCGTGGCCATTACCAATACATATTTGGTAAAATGGAGAATAAGAAAATACTCATGCAATCAACTACAAAAACTTTAGATAATGGAAAATTATATTTATCTACATAATCTTTAGCAGCTCTATCACCTCTACCTACCAAAAATAAATAAATATCAATTTGGGATTTACCTTCATGTTTTCCTTCCATCTACACACCAATGGCTCCGTCATCAATGTAATTAAACGAAATGGGTGCTACCTCTTCACTCTTAGGTTTGGCTCAGCGAGCGATCAATTGTGGTCGGGTATTTGATATTCTTGATTTGGGGCTAGGGGTTCGACAGTGCCTTAAAACAGATTTGGGGATTTCCTTCTTTCACTTCCCTTCTTTGGTTAGTAAGAGACGCATTTTCTTCCCCTAAGTCAAAGCGTGAATCAAATTTTATATTGTAAAAGGCGTATGCGCCTTTGCTGAATTAGAGTTGATTTGGCAATTAAGTTCATATTTGGAAGTATTTAATTGGTCAACTCAGCTTTCCATCATTCACGTAGGTGCATCTATTAACGGGTTTTAAATGGGTGAGTGATGGAGTTGGACGGAATGAAGTTCGATGGCAACAAAAAGGGTAAATGGGAAAAAAATAAAAATAAAAAATTGAACACTTTATATTAAATACCACTAGCCATGCGATGAGATATTGACAATAATCTTTCTGCTTATACAAGTAAAAGGTTGATTTCTATTAAACCGACTCTTGAATGTTTGCATCAATAAATATTTATGGCCATTTAGAATTTTGTGGCGACATGTAACATGAATTTCAGTGTCCATAGAAATAATCTAAATTAAAACTTTAACTTTTAAAAGACATCCATAATTACTCATACGTATGTGTATCTCAACTTCACTTCCGACATGCCCGCATTAAGAGTGGCTAACGTGTCAAGCAGCTTGCACGGCCTTGGGATTCGACTCTTCCTATAGGCCATTCGAGCTTGCATTTAGAGGAGCCATGAATCGAATTGAGCTCGAACTTTTTCACAAGTCTGACCATAAGCCTGGTCCACAGCCAACTCGTTATTTGTTGGCCACATGATCATTGGCGGCCAAACAATCACATTAATGTTTGGCCTAACAATTTTTTTTTTAAAATGGTCACTCTTTTGACTTTTAACTTTATCTTCTCAATTTACAATTGTTATAAGCTCCATATTAGCAATTGTTATAAGCTCCATATTAGAATTTTTTCTTGTGCACTCTAAAATTAATTATCTCATGAATGTTTGGCCCAACAATCAGTTTTTTAGCTTTTTTCTTTAGACGGTCAATTTTTTTTTTTACTTTTAGCTTTATCTTCTCAATTTACAATTGTTATAAGCTCCATATTAGATTTTTTTTACTTGTTTTCTTAAATTTAATTATTTGAGTTATTTATGCCCAATTCTAGTATAAGTTATATTATTCTACCTCTTTCTTTTGTATATTATTTCAAATAGATTACAGTATATTGTTGGAAACTGTTGATTTCAGCCAAATCTATGGTGGTTCAAACAGTAAATGGTGAGAATACGAGCATCATGATTGCTTCTTGCATTATAAGACTCGTCTAATATTAGAAAATTTGTCCAGTTAAGATTCAAAAGTCTTTGATTCAAGGCATCATACAAACTTCGTATCAGTTATTTTGTTGTGCAATCAAAAGTTTTATTGTTTTAAAATTTACTTATTTAACTTATTTATATTCAAATCTAATACAAATTAAATATTTACCTCTTATTTTCATATATTATTCGAAATGTGAGTTAAACCAATTTTACCTTTAGATATGTATTCAGATTGATAGATTGATTATTAGCTTAAACAAATTGGTTGCATTCATGTCATTGAAACAGATATTTTAGAAGAGGTGACTCTAGGAAGGGATAAAGAATGATTTTAAAATTTTCAGGAGGTCATAAATGCAGTCAATTTGCTCAAGTCAATAATCAAATAAAAAAAAAATTCAATCTGAATTTGTAGCAAGAGACTAGAGGTAAAATTGGTTCGAAGATGCAATCTATATGTGAAAACCGAAGAAGCAATCAAGCAAAGCTCCAAATCAACATAAATCGGACTAATTAATAATCGAAAATTTTAAAGATTTGATTTCATAATTTGTAATTGTTATTTTTGTTAATTTTCTTTATTTTTTTTTAACTTTTAAAAAATTATACGCGTGATATCTTGTTCCTTCACAAATTTAACTCAATCTAATTAAAATTAGCCGATCCTAAGCTTGAAAAGAAAAAAGATGTACTTTCCCTTTGTTTTTTTTTTAGAGAGAGAGAGAGAACTCATAATCCACTCGGCTCGTCCTATGAGGCCTATGTGCCAATAGGCCAATTTGAACAAGATTTTGAACGAATCAAGCTTGAGTATTTAAGGATCGAATCGACTCATCTCAACCCATTTCCACCCTAACTCATGTCTTGTCTAGTCAATGTTGCAATCTCTTTTGGAAAAGTTGCTTTCCCTCTATCTCTAGAATCAAAACAAGAGGAAAGTATGATCACAGAAATATTGAATATTTAAAATTAATGTCATCATAATATATTGTATTACTCAAAATAAAATAAACAATGTTAAGTAGATCCGGTTTCAACATCAACCTAACATAGAAAACAATTTCGTTAACAAACAAAAAGTGGGTAATGAGGAAATTTATTATGCGGTCACTAAACTTTTGGCAAAATTTCAATTGGGTCAACAAACTTCAATTTATCTCAATCAGGTCACTGAACTTCAATTATGTTTCAATTGAATTACTAAACTTCAATTAAGTTTCAATTGAATCATTGAACTTAAATGTTTCAAATTTTACTACTGTCATGTGTTGTCTCTTAATTGAAGAAAAGAAATACTCAAATAGAAATCATACAGCAGCAAATTTTACATGTATTTACTGTATGTCATGCCAACTTATCACTACATTATATAATAAAAACATTAAATAGAAGCCCGCATTTTTACCGTTTAATCTAAAGACATTATCGTACTTCTAGGTTTACAATTTTTGTGTTTAGGGAGCCATGTAATTATTACATGAAATATCTATTGTAGATTGTTGACAACTAAGTAGTTTCTATTAGTTTGTGGGTTGATAAGTGGTATAACGTCAAAGAGTGATGAAATTTGTAACTAAGAAGTTGAGTGATGCTATTGAGATAAATTAAAACTTAGTAACTCAATTGAAATTTTTTAAAAGATTATTAACCACTGATGAAATTAACCCTTGAATATTAGAATTGCATCAAAATTAAACTCCAATTAGTAAAATGCTAAGGTGTCCTACTTATCTCCTCAAATTGAGAGAGAAAGAAGGCCTCTTTGATGCAGATTTTTTAGAATAAATTTTGTGATTTTTCTTTTTCTTATTATTTTTTTAAAGAACATGTGACTAAAAAGTATGAAAAAATTGTAAGTCTACTAACAAAACTATTATTGGGGTAAGTGATTGAAAGTGTGTTGTGGAAAATACTTATCTCCTCAAATTGAGAGAGAAAGAAGGCCTCTTTGATGCAGATTTTTTAGAATAAATTTTGTGATTTTTCTTTTTCTTATTATTTTTTTAAAGAACATGTGACTAAAAAGTATGAAAAAATTGTAAGTCTACTAATAAACTATTATTGGGGTAAGTGATTGAAAATGTGTTGTGGAAAATTGAATTTTAAAAATCTATACCAAATGAGAGCACAATTCTTATAACTTGTGGGTCTTGAAAATGTTTAGATAATAAATGGATAGTACGTTATGAGTCGTACATAATGTAAATAAAAAAAAATATTTGATCAGCTCAAAGTAGAATTTAAGCCTATGTTTAACCTCTATTTTTTTCAAAAACTTATTTTCAACCACACATTCACCCATAAAATAATTTTACACGTAATCCAAAAATTTTCTTATTTTTTAACTACACATTCTTGAAAAAATCACTATTCTAAAAATATTTTTCTCAAAAAATAGGGCTCAAACAGGAGGGTTAAACTTGTAAGTGCAATTGAAAGTCGTGTAAGAATAGGCAACTCATAAATCAAGTACCAATTACGAATAACAAATCAATAAAATATTAAGAATTTAAACACAATTGAGAACACTCGATTTTTCATTTCATTAAATCCCATTTTTTGAAAGACTCGAATGGTCTTATTTATGCAGTGCTATAGTAGAAATCCTCTTTCATATCTTACTTTACTAAAACAATAACAAATAACATTTCATGACATTAGAGCTCACGAAAATAACAAAAATTAATTATATTATATGAAATGTGTGGTTAAAAAATTGTAGGTATATTAAAATATTTTATTACGATTAATTGTTGACTTTGATTTAAATTTTAATCCAAATTTATAGCTGAACAAAACAAGGGCTAAATAATTTTCACGAAGAAGTCAAAACGAGAATTTGGATAACCCATTAATCGTTGCCTAGGGATGCCATTGTGAGGTTGCTAAGAGCATCTCAAATATTCATGTGGATTGTGAGAAAAAGTACTACAACAAATACTCATTTTTCGGAAGAAAAAAATAATAATAATCTTCTTCAATACAACTCGAGTGGGACTCTATCTAACTAATGTGGCAAGAGAAAAATAGATGTTTTGAAGAGGACTATCTAGATGTAAATGCTTATTAAACAGGATAAGTCATCAAAATTTAGAACTTCTTTCTGTTTTTGTCTCCTATTTGTTATTTTTCTCCATATTGTTTATTATTTTTGCTCTCCTATTAAATATTTATTAGATGAAATTTGAATTATAGATGAAATCTATTGAAGATTTGATAAGTGCAGATTTTTGCACTATTCCGGGTCATTAAACTTAGATGTTTGTGAGTTTTATTAGCGATTTATTACTTAATTTAGTTATTTTTATTGTGTAGGTGAAAAGCCGACTTTGAACGATGATTAGAAGATATTTATGTGAGAAAAGACGAAAAAAATAAAGGAAGCATGAAAACGTTGAAGAGGACATTTCTGGAAAAAAAAAATTCAGCGCGCTAGCAGAAAACAGAAACTGTGGCGCCTAGGCGCCACTGTTACGGCGCCCACCCGAGCCGTTTTTAATTGTTTTCAAAATTTCAGAGACTAATGCTGCAATTTCCTTTAAGTTTTAGTTTAAAACATTCAACCAAACACAAGACTTAGGGATTTATTCTTGGAACTTGAGGGGAGCAGCCAGTTCTTCTCCTTTCTTTTTCATTTTTCATTTCACCTATATTTTCTTGGACATTTTGGGGAAGATTGGAACATGGAGATTGTGCATTAGCTTAGAGAAAATGATCCATTGATATTGAAGGATTTTCTACCATTTCTTTCTTTATCGATAAGTTTTTTTTTTTTTACCTTTTACATCAATGTTTTGTAAGAAATTGTCAGTTATTTGTGAATATTTCATGGGTAACTAATTATATTTGTGATTGAGGATTATTTCAAACCCAAGTTATGATTTTCAACTAATCAGTGCTTTATAGTTCTCTTGATTAATGTGTTTATTCCATTGTGTTAAATGTTTATTTTGCTCTTCTTAATTGTTTAGGTGTACAACTAAATGATTAAATTATTTCGATGAATGCTATTTTGGGATTAGTAGTACGTAATAGCTATTGATTATAAAGTCTAGTAACAATTACATTTCGATAGATTATGAAGAATTTTCAATTGAATGTATGTGAATTAACACTTAAGTTAGTAAACCGAGCATGCGAGTTTACCCTTAATTCAATTCATCTATTTTGTCGTAATGTGTTCATTAAATAAAATCTAGAGAACTTGTTCTAGGTTGTTTAATGAATAGGATTGAGTAAAGAGCTTGTTTTATTCGACTAATATGTAAAAAGAGATTGAGGTAATTGAATTTGTAATTATTCTCGAATTGTTGTTAATCTTGAGAACGAAATCTATTGTGGTAATTGATATGAAAATCATTCTCGTTGTGACGAAATATCCCCCAATCACATTTTCTCACATTCAATCAAGAACCAATTTGTTTATTTCAAATTTTAAGTCTTTTATAGTTTAAATTTATCGCTTTCCTTAGTTTAACAAACTCCCCATTTAATCTATTTTGTATATTATTATTAATTTTACTTTTTAGTGCGCAATCGACATAATTGAATCAATCCTTTGCAGGAAATGACCCTTACTTGCCATAATACTATTTAAGACAACGCATTTAAGTTAAGTAAGGAAAAGTAATCGAAACATGATATGCTATGTATCAATTTTGGCACCATTGCTGAGGATTGTTCTATCAATTTGTCAATTGCAATATTTTTCTCTTTGTTGTTTTTCTATTTATTTTTGTTATTTTCTTCGTTATTTAGGTTGTGAATGAGCAAAAAGCCTATAACACATTACAACCTAAGATCAAAAAAAGAGGCTGACACATCGGAAAGTGGAGAAGATATTTCTCCAACTAGACATCTAAGGCAATTGAGCATTGAATCCTCAAGTGACTCCAAACACATAGAGCCGAAATGGTGGATGCAAATCGGACCTTAAAGGAACTTGCAACTCCAACTTTTGTTCAACAACCTCTGTGCATTCAATATCCTCAAGTGGAGGTGGGATTTGAACTAAAGTCAGGGATGATTCATCTACTTCCCACATTTCATGGATTCGTCGGAGAGGATCCAAATAAGCATTTGAAGGAGTTTCATGTGGTTTGCTGAAGCATGAAACCTGCAGGTATATCGGAAGAGCAAGTGAAATTGCGGGCATTCCCTTTTTCTCTTGCAGACACTGCTAAGGAATGGCTCTACTATTTGCCAGCCGGTCTTATTATCACGTGGAATGAAATGCAAAAGCTTTTCTTAGAGAGATATTTCCCAGCTTCAAAGGCTACAAACATCATGAAAGAAATCTGTAGCATTCGACAATCTCAAGGGAAAAATCTCTGAGTATTGGGAGAGATTCAAAAGGCTATGTTCTAGTTGCCCAAACTACCAAATCAGAGAGCAATTACTTTTACAATACTTCTATGAAGGATTACTCCCGATGGAGAAAAATATGATTAATGCAGCTAGTGGAGGAGCTTTAATGGATAAAACACCAACAGCTGTTAGGGATTTGATAGCCAACATGGCCGCAAACTCACAACGATTTGGTAGTAGAGAAACGGCACCGGTTAAACAAGCAAGTGAGGTAGGAGCAACCTCTCAAATTGAACGACAATTAGCCAGTCTTACATCGCGTGTGCAACACATGGCACTTGGGACAATACAACAAGCAAAAGTGTGCGGAATTTGTTTTATTGTGGGACATCCTACTGAGGTATGCTCGACACTACAAGAAGGAGCCTCAGAGCAAGCGAATGCCATTGGGGGATTTCCAATGCAACAGAGATAGAGATATGATCCATATGTTAGCACATATAATCCTGGATTTAGAGATCATCCTAATCTCAGTTATAGAGGTAATCATTTCATAACTCTACAATCATAGTTTAATCATCCCTTGGGGTTCAATCAATAAAGTCAACCACAACACCCTCAACCTCGTCAACAAACTCCACCTCAAAGTTCAAAGATGTCTCTTGAGGATATGGTTAAGTCCTTGACTTCTAGTACAATACAATTTCAACAAGAGACAAAGACCTCAATTAAGAATTTAGAGACACAAGTGAGCCAATTGGCCAACACTGTGGGTAAATTGGAGGCTTAAGAATCGGGAAAACTTCCTTCTCAAGCAATCAACCCGAGAGAAAATGCTAATGCCATGACACTAAGAAGTGGAAAAATTTTGGAAGAGGCACCAAGGAAAATGAAAGATCCAGTTGAGGAGTCAATGTAAGAGAAGAACTTAGCATTTGAAAAAGATAAAGTTACGAATCCAACTACAGGATCTAAGGTAGAATCTAAAAGTTCTATTACGACTTATGTTCCCTCCCCCTCCATTTCCTAGCAGGTTTGCAAAGTCCAAAAGGAAATTTTGGAAACTTTTCGCAAGATTCAAGTGAACATAGCACTTTTGGATGCAATTTATCAAGTGCCTCGTTATGCAAAGTTCCTCAAGGATTTGTGCACTAACAAGCATAGATTGAAAGGTAATGAAGTGGAAAGTGTAGGGAAAAATGTCTCAACAGTCTTGCAAAAGAAACTTTCACCAAAATGTAAAGACCCTGGAAGTTTTAGCATCCCTTGCATAATTGGTAACACTAGATTTGAAAAGGCCATGCTAGATTTAAGAGCATCTATTAATCTCATGCTATATTCTATTTATGCTTCCTTAAATCTAGGATCACTTAAAGAAACCGATATTATTATTCAAGTTGCTGATAGATCTAATGCATTTCCAAAGGGTGTGTTGGATGATGTTTTGGTGCAGGTAAATCAATTGATTTTTCTGGCAGATTTCTACGTTCTTGATATGCAAGATAAACCAATATCTTTGTCGCCACCGTTGCTCTTGGGAAGACCATTTATGATAGCTGCGTGTACGAAGATAGATGTGCATGATAGTACATTAACAATGGAGTTTGATGGTGAGATTATTCGCTTCAACATCTTTGAAGCAATGAGGTATCCTAGTGATGATCACGCTTGTTTTTCAATTGATATAATAGATTCATTAGTACACAAAGTTTTTGAATTATCAAACAAATATGCATTGAATACCACTTTGATTAAAAGCATTGATGTTAGCAATCTCATCGGGTTGAGCAAGAATTTACAAGTGTTCAAGGATTTTATTGAAACAGTGGCATCACTTGAGTCACTACCAAGTATTCCACCAAGGTATGATCTCTCCTGTATTACTCTTCCGATATCTAAAGAGAAACTTTTACTTTCAGTGATGCAGGCCCCCACTTTGAAACTCAAACCTCTTCCTGATCATTTGAAGTATGTATATTTGGGAGAGGAGGAAACACTACCGGTGATCATTGCAAAGAATCTCACAACACTTCAAGAAGATAGGCTTATCCGTGTGCTCAAGGAACATAAAATAGCTATTGGTTGACAATAGTCGATATCAAGGGGATAAGCCCTTCTATGTGTATGCACCAGATATTACTCGAAGATGGAGCAAAGCCATCAAGAGAAGCACAACATCGCTTGAATCCTCCTATGATGGAGGTGGTGAAGAAAGAAATTTTGAAATTGCTAGACATTGGTGTCATCTTTCCCATGTCCGATAGCAAGTGGGTAAGCCCGGTTCAAGTTGTTCCAAAAAAGTCCAGAATCACAGTGGTAACGAATGAAGAGAATGAGCTTGTACCAACTCGGGTCCAAACAGGTTGGAGGGTTTGTATTGATTACAGAAAACTTAATTGTGCAACCCGAAAAGATCACTTTCCTTTACCCTTTATTGATCAAATTTTGGAAAGGTTAGCAAGTCATTATCAGTATTGTTTTCTTGATGGTTATTCAGGTTATAACCAAATTGTAATTGCTCCGGAAGACCAAGAGAAAACAATATTCACTTGTCTGTTTGGTACCTTTGCTTATCGGTGCATGCCCTTCGGCCTTTGCAATGCTCCCACAACCTTTCAACAATGCCTGATAATTGTATTCTCTGATTATATTAAAAGCATCATTGAAGTCTTTATGGATGATTTTAGTGTTTATGGTAATACCTTTGATAGCTGCTTGGAAACACTTGTGCTTAAGAGATATATGGATGCTAACCTAGTACTTAATTGGGAAAATGTCATTTTATGGTTGATCAAAGCATAGTGTTAGGCCATGTCATTTCGTCCAAGGGGATAGAAGTTGATAAATTTAAAATTGATTTAATTCGCTCTTTACTTCCTCCAAAAAGTGTAAGGGAGATTCGTTCTTTGCTTGGACATGCAGGATTTTATCGAAGGTTTATTAAGAAATTTTCCAAATGTGCAAGACCATTATGCAGGCTATTGCAAAAGAAGGTGCCATTTCATTTTGATGCAAATTGTAAAAAGGCATTCGAGAGCTTGAAGGAACTTTTGAAATCGGTACCCATCATTCAACCACCGGATTGGAACAAGCCATTTGAGTTGATGTGTAATGCAAGTGACTTTACATTGGGAGCCATTTTTGGACAACGAGTTGAAAAGACACCTCAAGTTATATCTTATGCAACAAGAACTTTGAATGATGCCCAACTCAATTACTCAACTACTGAAAAAGAGCTTTTAGCAGTTATTTTTTCCTTAGAGAAATTTCGTTCATATCTTATTGACACTAAAGTAACTGTCTTTTTTGATCATGCAACTCTTAGGTAATTTCTTGCCAAGAAAAAGGCAAAATCAAGGCTCATTAGATAGATACTCCTCTTACAAGAGTTCGACCTTGAGATTAAATACAAAAAGGGGAGTGAAAATTCTGTGGCCAATCACCTCAATTACCTTATCCATGAGAGAGAAACTCTCCCATTGCAAGAAAGCTTCCCCGATGAACAATTGCTTCTCGTCATAGACACATCTCCTTGGTTTGTGGATGTAGTGAACTATTTAGTCACTAAGAAAATTCCAAGTGACTTGACCATCGCTCAAAGGCAAAAACTCAAGGCGATAGCCAAGTATTTTGTGTAGGAAGAGCAGTACTTGTGGAAACACTGTCCGTATCAATTGACAAGAATGTGCGTGCATGAAAATGAATTTCATTCAATACTTACCTTCTGTCACTCCTATGCATGTGGTGGACATTTTGGAGCAAAGAGGACTGCTCTCAAGGTGCTTGAAAGTGGATTCTATTAGCCTACCCTATTCAAAGATGCATACCTCTTTTGCAAATCTTGTGATCGATGTCAAAGAGTAGGTATGTTGGGAGCCCGAAATCAAATGCCACAAACACCCATACTTTTTGTTGAAATTTTTTATGTTTGGAGCATTGATTTCATGGGACCTTTCCCTTCATCTTATGGTAACCTTTACATCAGTCTTGCCGTTGATTATGTGTCAAAATGGGTGCAAGGGTTGGAACACCAATAGCTATTATTAGCGATGGAGGACTACATTTTCGTAACCGCTCCTTTTGGACCCTATTGAAAAGATACAACATCACCCATAAAGTGGCTACACCTTACCATCCACAAACTAGTGGGCAAGTCGAAGTGTCTAATCGAGAGGTTAAATCCATCCTCGAAAAACTATGAATCCCAATAGAAAGGATTGGAGTCTCCACCTCAATGATGCACTCTAGGCTTATAGGATGGCATACAACACAGATTGGCATGTCCCCTTATCAGTTAGATTATGGCAAGCCTTGTCGTTTCCCAGTTGAACTCAAACACAAGGTATTTTGGGCAGTCAAGCAATGCAACATAGACCTAGGTGTAGCGGTTGATCAAAGAAAGCTTCAACTCAATGAACTTGAGGAAATTCGAAATAACGCCTATGAAACTTCAAGAATTTACAAGGAAAAAACTAAGGCATACCATGATAAAATGATTTCAAGAAAGGCTTTTGTTTTTGGACAAAAAGTTCTTCTTTTCCACCCGCGCCTCAAGTTATTTTCAAGTAAATTACGTTCTCGATGGATTGACCCTTTTGTTGTTACTAATGTCTTTCCTCATGGTGTAGTGGAAATCAACAGCCTTAAGACTGAGAAAGAGTTTAAGGTAAATGGGCATCGATTAAAGCCATATTTTGAACCCTTCGTATCACGAAACATGGAGGAAATGCGATTGGAGGATCCAATCGAAGAAGCATGAGAGATGACACTTTTTTTTGTGAATTTTTGTCACCAATGGTCCCCAAAACATCATCATAGCCATCACCGTCATCACCACTAGGATAGTATTTGAACCTCTTGCGCTTTCTATTTCTTTTTGCTTTTACATTGAGGACACTGTGCAATTTAAGTTTGAGGGTGAGATAATGTGTGCTAGATTTTTTGTGGTAATTTTGTGGTTTGTGCTAAATTTGTTCTCGCTAAAACTCAAATTTTGGATTAAAAACTTGCTTTTATGCTTGTTTGTGTTGTTTGATAGTTTTGCCAATTGCCTTTTGAATGTTGCATTGCATTGATTTATAAATTGGGAACATGAATGCTAAATGTTGTTTATTTTCATCCATTTATTCCATGATTGACTCTTTATTAAGCACTTGGGTCATGAGATTCATCACACGCACTTGTTGGTTGCACTTGTAGGTTGTTAACGAACTTAAATGACCATGCTATTAGAAACTCTTCAATTACTCTACCAATGAAAGGATAAGTTTGGGAGGTGGTTGAACTGGTGAAAGAAATTATTTAGAATTGTATTAATTCCTGACTCAGTGATTGATTTTGTGGAATGTTCTTAGACTTCAAATAAAAGTTAAATATTATTTTCCATCTATTGATATTTCATAATCAAAATATATATATAGGAAAAAGTTGCCTACACTAAGGATTGTGAGTCAGCATTGAGTAATATGGCCCTATGCATCACCAATGTGTAGGAGACGATCTACGAATGAAGAAGGCTATCCTTAGGGACTAGAGCAAGAACTACCTACATTGGAAAAATGAAGAAAAATAAAAGGGATGCTATAAGCATCTAGGGGTGATTTTGTTGAAGAATCGATGAATTGTGAGTAATTTGCCTAACATAAGTTTGTGGTCTAAGCACTTAAATTTTTTGGCGAATTAATACATGATTAGATGATCTATTTTATCGATTCAACCTAACCAAATTTGAGAGGGAAAGATTGAGTGATTTGAGGGCAACCTTAAGTTTTTGACACCTTGGGCTAGAGTGAAAATATCAAGTTTGGAGGAGTGTACATCCCATGAGTGAGAAAGGAAAATTTGACCATTGAGGGTCAGGAAAATCACCAACTTATGTATTGCGATGAATTGGAATGACCACACACACACACAAGTCAAGCATAGTGTAAGTTAAAGAGTATTTGTTGTAGTATTTTTGTAAACATTTCATAAGTTAGTTGCATAATGTAAGGCTTGAAGCAAAGTGACAAACTATCTAACATTTGGAGTGTTTGTTATTATAGTATTATCTTATGGTTTTAATTTACGTGTTTGTATGCTTGTTTGTATGGCTTTGTTCGAGGACTAACAAGGATTTAAATTTGGGGGTGTGATAAGTGCGGGTTTTTGCACTATTTCAGGTCATTAAACTTAGATATTTGTAAGTTTCATTAGCGATTTATTATTTAGTTTAGTTATTTTTATTGTGTAGGTGAAAACCCGGCTTTGAACGATGATTAGAAGGTATTTATGTAAGAAAAGACGAAAAAGAAAGCATGAAGACGTTAAAAGAGGATGTTTCTAAATAAATAAATAAAAATTCAGTAAGTTGGGCGACGCTATGCCCAGCTCGAGTAGAAAATAGAAACTGTAGCGCCCAGGCGCCACCGGGCCATTTTTAATTGTTTTCAAAATCCAAGGGACCAATGTTGCAATTTTCTTTAGGTTTTAGTTTAAAATATTCAACCAAACACAAAACTTGGAACTTGAGGGGAACAGTCGGTTCTTCTTCTTCTTTTTGTCTCTAGTTTTTTTTTTCTTTTTCTTTTTTCCTTTCACCTATATTTTCTTGGATATTTTGGGGAAGATTGGAACGTGGAGATGGTGCATTAGCTTGGAGAAGATGACCCATTGATATTGAAGGATTTTCTACCATTTCTCTCTTTATCAATAAGTTTTTCTTTTCACTTTTTCCATCAATGTTTTGTAAGAAATTGTTAGTTATTTATGAATAATTCATGGGTAACTAATTATATTTGTGATTGGGGATATTTTAAACCCAAGTTATGATTTTTAACTAATTAGTGCTTTATAGTTCTCTTGATTAATGTATTTATTCTATTGTGTTAAATGTTTATTTCGTTCTTCTTGAGTGTTTAGGTGTACAATTAAATGATTAAGTTGTTTTAATGAATGCTATTTTGGGATTAGTAGTACATAATAGCTATTGATTCTAAAATCTAGTAGCAATTACATTTCGATAGATTATGAAGAATTTTCAATTGAATGTATGTGGATTAATACTTAAATTAGTAAATCGAGCATGCAAGTTTACCCTTAATTCAATTCATCTCTTTTGTCGTAATGTGTTTGTTAAATTAAATCTAGAGAGCTTGTTCTAGGTTGCTTAATGAATATGGTTAAGTAAAGAGCTTGTTTTATTCGATTAACATGTAAGAAGAGATTGAGGTAATTGAGCTTATAATTATTCTCGAATTATTGTTAATCTTGAGAACGAAAATCTATTGTGATAATTGACATGAAAATCATTCTCGTGGTGACGAAATATCCCCCAATCACATTTTCTCACATTCAATCAAGAACCAATTTGTTTATTTCAAATTTTACGTTTTTTCTAGTTTAAATTTATCGCTTTCCTTAGTTCAACAAACCAAATCCCCCCCCCCCCCATTTAATCTATTTCGTATATTATTATTAATTTTACTTTTTAGTGCGCAATCGACATAATTGAATCAATCCTCTGTGGGAAATGACCCTTACTTGCCATAATACTATTTACGATGACACATTTAAGATAAGTAAGGAAAAGTAATTGAAACGTATCAAGATTAATTTTGAGTCTTGTCATCTACTAATTGACATCAGTGCCATGTGTACGAGAAGCTTTTTTAATTATTTGTCATTTAGACTATAACCCATAATATGCATTTGCGGTACTTTAATGTTAGACATAGTTATGGATAACTTGCGGATAAGGAATTATTAAGTCAGTCATGAAATAGTCTTTTATCCATCGAGATGTAAAACACAAACCATAGACGTCTACAACATCATTCTTATCTTAGAATTTTTACACTCAAAATCATAATGCCCTATTTAGACTCATATTTAATGTGATTTTCAAAGGAAATGTATTTTAGAATAGTGAGTTTTTGGAGATGTGTGGTTAAAAGACAAGAAAAAATTTTAAATTTACGTATAATATTATTTTTATCAAAAAATGAGTAATTGAAAAGAAGAAAGAGAAAAATGCATTAAAATTAAAATGGAGTATATCTGAACTTCTAATAAAATTATTTTGGGTCATTTTCAAATATCATTACACATTAATAAAATAGTGTATGCCATGTAATTTTATTAGAATAATATTATTTATAAACACTGCTGTGTGTGTGTGTGTGTATAGCATTATTTGCTTCAAGTCCATTGAAGCGAATCACATCAATGATGTGCCCCATAATAGTGTCTTAAATTCTTAGTATTTTAGCATTATTTGAAGGAAATATTGGTCAGCATTATTTTGGGAGATATAAAAATTTTACAAGTACTCCATACCATAATTTTTTAAATATTAGAAAATGTACCATGGCCAATAGAAATTATTTTCACCAAGCAATATTGTTTATTATATAACATGTTTATAATAACCTTATTGTTTATTAAAAAAATAACCTTATTGTAAATATTTTTCTTGCTTTTTATATACAATTAGTCACTAAAAACATTAACTTAGATCATTGATCGAATAAAATTAATCTCGAGTTTTTCAAATTTTCCCTTGTCGGAGGATGTCAATTCAAATTAAAATCAGTTTTTAATCCACCAAGTTTGGATCAAATCTATCATAAGTCAAATTCTATATATATATAAGATGTTCGTGTTGTCTTGAAAGTGAGGTCCACTCACAAATGAGACATGTGGATCGCTAGAGTGAGTTGACCCGTTCTACTAAACCCCCAAAAAGGTGTGATATTCGAGTGTTGCCTTGAAAGTGAAGTCCACTCACAAATGAGACGTGGATCGCTAGAGCGAGTTGACCCGTTCTACGCAACCCCTAAAAAGGTGTTTTACAAATATTTAGGCTAATTCACTTTATTAATTATTTGTCGACACGCATATTATTTTCTTTCTTCTCTTCCCAACCCCACTAGTTTTTACTCTTTAAGACTTGACCATGACTTGCAAGTTAACAACGAAATATTGCATTATTGGACCACCTCCAATCGTCCTTAATCTTTAAAAAATGAGCAAATCGATTTTTAACTTTTCATTATAATTGGCAGTAACCTCATTTATCGTCACTGAGTCAACGAAATATAATTGAAGTGGGGTCTCTCAACTTCAATTTGTTTCATTTTATCACTGAACTTGAATTAACTTTCAATGTTAGACCCCGTTACTAAACTTTGCAATCCTATACCAATACTAAAAAATAAATAATTAGACGTGTCTTATCTTCAGCAAATATGCTACTTAATCACGTCGTGATTGTAAATATAAAAATAACTCATTTTAAAATTCGAGAATAACTCATGCGATGAAACTTGCTTAGAGCTCTATTCCTTTCCACGTTTCAAGAAATGCGGGACTAATGAAGGATTGGGACCTTAAGTTTAGTAACATGGCTTCCAGAGTAATTAACACTTAGAACATGTTAGTTAGAGATTTTAATCCAATTAACATCAATTTTTTAATCGTTATTTCACTATTTTAATCATCATTTTTAAATTCTTCTCTCACAAGTAGAACCCAATTTATCTCTAACGGTTAAAAAATCAATTAACAAAATCCCTACCAAACAAGGACTTAAATTAAATTTCAATATTTAATTATAATAAATTAAAGTTGGAAGATTCCACTGAAGGTTGATGACAAGATAAAATTAACCCATATGTTTGCACAATCATGTTCACTTTCTAGATCTCCCCAACCCAACCACCCAAAACAAAATTTTAAGCGTTGACCATAACCTTTGAGTTAGTCCGTGAATTTATTATC